TGCTATTCCATCAGTATGTTGTTACACGTCTCATCAGTGTACATTTTGCTAGTCCATCCGTATGTTGTTACATGTCTCATCAGGGTACATTTTGCAGTCACGTCTCATCAGTGTACATTTTGCTATTCTATCAGTATGTTGTTACACGTCTCATTAGTGTACATTTTGCTATCACGTCTCATCAGTGTACATTTTGCTAGTCCATCCGTATGTTGTTACACGTCTCATCAGGGTACATTTTGCTGTCACGTCTCATCAGTGTACATTTTGCTATTCTATCAGTATGTTGTTACACGTCTCATTAGTGTACATTTTGCTATCACGTCTCATCAGTGTACATTTTGCTAGTCCATCCGTATGTTGTTACACGTCTCATCAGGGTACATTTTGCTGTCACGTCTCATCAGTGTACATTTTGCTATTCCATCAGTATGTTGTTACACGTCTCATCAGTGTACATTTTGCTATCACGTCTCATCAGTGTACATTTTGCTGTTCCATCAGTATGTTGTTACACGTCTCATCAGTGTACATTTTTCTATTCTATCAGTATGTTGTTACACGTCTCATCAGTGTACATTTTGCTATCACTAATGAGACGTGTAACAACATACTGATGGAACAGCAAAATGTACACTGATAAGACGTGATAGCAAAATGTACACTAATGAGACGTGTAACAACATACTGATAGAATAGCAAAATGTACACTGATGAGACGTGACAGCAAAATGTACCCTGATGAGACGTGTAACAACATACTGATAGAATAGCAAAATGTACACTGATGAGACGTGATAGCAAAATGTACCCTGATGAGACGTGTAACAACATACGGATGGACTAGCAAAATGTACACTGATGAGACGTGATAGCAAAATGTACACTAATGAGACGTGTAACAACATACTGATAGAATAGCAAAATGTACACTGATGAGACGTGACTGCAAAAGGTACCCTGATGAGACATGTAACAACATACGGATGGACTAGCAAAATGTACACTGATGAGACGTGTAACAACATACTGATGGAATAGCAAAATGTACACTGATGAGACGTGATAGCAAAATGTACACTGATGAGACGTGTAACAACATACTGATGGAATAGAAAAATGTACACTGATGAGACACGATAGCAAAATGTACACTGATGAGACGTGATAGCAAAATGTACACTGATGAGACGTGTAACAACATACTGATGGAATAGCAAAATGTACACTGATGAGACGTGTAACAACATACTGATGGAACAGCAAACTGTACACTGATGATACGTTTAACAACATACTGATGGAACAGCAAAATGTACACTGATGAGACGTGTAACAACATACTGATAGAATAGAAAAATGTACACTGATGAGACGTGTAACAACATACTGATGGAACAGCAAAATGTACACTGATGAGACGTGTAACAACATACTGATGGAATAGAAAAATGTACACTGATGAGACACGATAGCAAAATGTACACTGATGAGACGTGATAGCAAAATGTACACTGATGAGACGTGTAACAACATACTGATGGAATAGCAAAATGTACACTGATGAGACGTGTAACAACATACTGATGGAATAGCAAAATGTACACTGATGAGACGTGTAACAACATACTGATAGAATAGAAAAATGTACACTGATGAGACACGATAGCAAAATGTACACTGATGAAACGTGTAACAACATACTGATGGAACAGCAAAATGTACACTGATGAGACGTGTAACAACATACTGATGGAACAGCAAAATGTACACTGATGAGACGTGATAGCAAAATGTACACTAATGAGACGTGTAACAACATACTGATGGAATAGAAAAATGTACACTGATGAGACATGATAGCAAAATGTACCCTCTATCAGTATGTTGTTACACGTCTCATCAGTGTACATTTCTCTATTACATCAGTATGTTGTTACACGTCTCATCAGTGTACATTTTGCTATCACGTCTCATCAGTGTACATTTTGCTATTCCATCAGTATGTTGTTACACGTCTCATCAGTGTACATTTTGCTATTCCATCAGTATGTTGTTACACGTCTCATCAGTGTACATTTTGCTATAACATCAGTATGTTGTTACACGTCTCATCAGTGTACATTTTGCTATTCTATCAGTATGTTGTTACACGTCTCATCAGGGTACATTTTGCTGTCACGTCTCATCAGTGTACATTTCGCTATTACATCAGTATGTTGTTACACGTCTCATCAGTGTACATTTTGCTATAACATCAGTATGTTGTTACACGTCTCATCAGTGTACGTTTTGCTGTTCCATCAGTATGTTGTTACACGTCTCATCAGTGTACATTTTGCTATCACGTCTCATCAGTGTACATTCCATCAGTATGTTGTTACACGTCTCATCAGTGTACATTTCGCTATTACATCAGTATGTTGTTACACGTCTCATCAGTGTACATTTTGCTATCACGTCTCATCAGTGTACATTTTGCTGTTCCATCAGTATGTTGTTACACGTCTGATCAGTGTACATTTCGCTATTCCATCAGTATGTTGTTACACGTCTGATCAGTGTACATTTCGCTATTACATCAGTATGTTGTTACACGTCTGATCAGTGTACATTTCGCTATTACATCAGTATGTTGTTACACGTCTGATCAGTGTATATTTTGCTATCACGTCACATCAGTGCACATTTTGCTATTCCATCAGTATCAGTGTACGTTTTGCTATTCCATCAGTATGTTGTTAAACGTATCATCAGTGTACATTTTGCTATCACGTCTCATCAGTGTACATTTTGCTATTCCATCAGTATGTTGTCTCTCGTTTCATCATTGTACATTTTGCTGTTCCATCAGTTGTCGGGCTGTTCCGTCAGTACGGATAAGATTTAATGAATGACATTTACTTTTTACGTAAGTGGAGTCAATAAACTGTCAAAAAAATAATGATGTTAAGATACTTTCATTTCCTAATGGAAATATCGAAGAAGAATATTAGAAAGAGAAAACAAAACCAGTTTGGTGATACGATATCAATCTTCAATCTTTGACTGGTTGTGCAAGAGTCAAGTCCTTTCGGACAATTAATTATTACAAATTACATATCATAGTTAAACACCTGTTAATCAGGGGTTTTTTTTCTGTAAGGGTAGTGACGCTCTTCGTTCTTGATTGACGTTGTGAAATCACATGTACATGATTTTGTATTTCCATGAGCTGACACTTCGTGTAGAAATTGATTTTGCGAGAAAATACAGAGAAGTTAGATTGATTTTTCACGGCGTAAAGCATACAAGTCATACTCAATCTTGGCAATTCTCCATCATACTGAAAAACAGCACACTCCTAAATTAACAGATATTTTTCTGACATAACCTGATATATGTAGTCTGTTTTGTATGTAATATATTCCACGTGACATTAACATTGGTATACGTTTAACATGGTCATGCAGGGATGTCTATCGTTTTCAACAAACAACTCTTATAAACCTTATATATAAGATGTTACTTTATTTTTCCATGTGTCTCGCGGCTCTCATATACATTTGCATTGACTGGAAATGAAAAGAAATAGCAGAGGTTTCTAACAGTTGAAACAGCTGTAGCCTCGGTATTAAACTATTTTTGTCAGTGATATTGACAATGACTGTACTATACTTTTATACGTCTCTCGATCTCTTTCACTACAGACAGAGTTAAATGCATACTACATGCATTTGTGAAATAATTAAATTATTATCTTATTGCACCTTCAAAAACGTCAAATAAAAATTATCTTGTAGTAAATTATTTCCCATTGTCAATAATAAAATATCAAGTTAATGGTTTTTGGTTCGCTTTTTTAATTTTTTTTTTATATTGGAAATTATGATATTCATGGACTCTCTTGGTTAGTGAACCGCCTTATCTAGTTTACATACATTTTGACTGTCCTTTGTCACCTCCTAAGTTTTTAACAGTTTTAAACATTAGCATCACTGAAGGTTTTAGAATTTATGACACATTTTGTCATCCTCTCCATTCAAGTAGCTTTTAAAATCTAAAGAAGTTAACAGTATTTCGTTAAAATGATGTGTTTTTGTTTTTGCTTAGCAAATTCTGATCAGCGTGAATTGTCACGTAATTAGTTCATGAAAAGTTCGTTAACTGACCAGGAAAACAATATCACGACTAGAAATTACAAACATCATTCTTTTTTTTCCGATTTTATAATTAATGATGTGTCGAATGATGCATGAAAATAAAACGTTATTCAATAACTTTGTGATACATTAAATGGACTGCGAAATGTAACGTTGACTTGCATTAGAAATGGTAACTATTTCATATAATTGCAATGTAAACAGAACAACGGACACCGTGATATCCTTTATCGGCAAGGAGATTAATATATTTTTTTAAATCAGGGCTCCATCTTCGTCAGGAAATAACAACAAGGAAAACACTGATATGTCAAGATAATTTAGATTAAAACACAAATTCGATGAAACTTGGGTAAACTATTAACAAATTAAAATACAAGGAGAAACTGTTCCGTAATAGTCAGCGTGGTATATTGTCATAACTACAGAACTTGATATTGAGACATTGTGCAAAGTTATGTAATCGAACCATTCATCCGTGCTTCACAAATCTTTCTCAAATAAGGTAATAGATTTGTTTAAAAGATGAAAATTTAACTAAAGATAGGACATGTATTTCATAACGTCTTTAGTCATTATTATAAGTCTACAATGTTTATATAGTAATGTAATGTTTTCATATCAAAGCTCGTACTTGTGACTTTGTGTCATTACATTTGATTTAAAAGGACACTGAACAATCTAAAGATTGCGTTTTAAATCTAAGATACAAGATAATACTGACAACACAATAAAGTATATAAATTTATTCACAAATTTAAATGAATACTTAAAGCACATATACTTAATACAGAATGATGAACAATCACCTAGAACGTCAGAGCAAAAGAGAAAATGTTATTTAAATACATACAGATGTTATTTCATAGCCACATTCTTTATTTGTAGGTTATTTATTCCCGTGCTGTTTGCCCCGGCCACAATCTGTTGCTTAGCTGTCTTTAGGCTCGAGGCATCTTTGCTGTTCTCAGAGTCGGAACCGCTGCCTGATTTTCCGTCAGCGTGAGTTTTTGCATGTTTTGCTAAATGGTCACTGCGCATAAATCTTTTATTACAAACAGGGCACGCAAATCTTTTTTCTCCAGTGTGCGTGCGCAAGTGACGTTGTAGCTCATCTGAACGCGTGAAACGCTTTCCGCAGAAAAGCCAGTTACACACAAAGGGGCGTTCGCCTGTATGCCACCTTAAATGGGCCTTTAAATGAGAAGATTTCCCATAAACCTTCCCACATCCGGGAATATGACAACTATGAACGTTTTTCTTCCTTAGATGAGCCCCAGCGGGTCCGAGTCTCTCAGCCTCTTGACAATTAGGACAATCACAAGAGGGTCGACCACTATAACGTCTTGATGAACGCGATCCAGGAACTCCTGATATCGCAGGACGCGACAAAAAGTTCGGCACCGATGATGCACCAATGTCGCCTTGAGTAGGTAGCATTGATTTGTAAGAGTCCTGTAGTAGATGCTGGCCTGATGATAAAAATGGACCGGATCCCGAACTGAGGGGATGGTTCAACGGGTACTCAGTTCCGGAATAGTTAGCTGATATCTGTGAATGAAGTCCGGAAGCAGTTCCGGTCATATCCGTCAGCCAGTTGGACGGATTTGAATGCATGTCCCACCAAGAGGAAGCGTGATTTACTGATGATGTCATTTCCGTTTTGATACCGTGAGTATTTGTTCCCGCAACATTGAACGGCCAATTTTCGTAAGGATGTGCAGTAACTCCCGGCACTCTAGAGTACATGGAACCAAGTGTAGAACCATTTAATCCACTATCACAATGCATTTTGTGAAGCAACGATGATTGAGTATTTTCTGTTTGCGCATGTGTACTCGGTACAGGATATAAAACGTCACTTCCGTAACCTGTTCCTGTACAACTTGAGCTAGTGGTACCTCTAGCATATGTGTATCCTGAGGAGGAACAATTCGGTGAGCTTGTCAAAGCTGACATTCTCTGTGAGTTGAGTGTAATTGGACAAGGAGCGCTCATGATGGGAGGGGAACGTTTCCAAGGATGAAAACCTTTACCAACTGCAGCGTCCGCAAGAGGCGGAGGACTTTTGTCGTTGATTTTGTTACACTGAGCTGCTAGCATAGCCAACGGCGTGCCTCCGAAAGGATGAGCGTCCTGAAAAAGAAAGAAAAATATTCAAATAAAGAACGTAAATAGTACAATGTTTACAAATAAACAAGTATATTACTTTGCAAATATTATCGCCATCAGTCGTATTTTTTCTATATGGAAGAAACCCAATGCTTCCAAAACAAAAGTATACAGTTGTTTGCTATGATTTAATTCTGCTTCCGTAATTCACTCATTTTGGAATTATGAATGACATTAGAAATATGTCAAGCTACTATAAAGATACAAAGCTGTCAATCAAGTCCATAGAAAAAAATAAAATGAAAACATGAAATGCATTAGTTATATGATAAATTGTTTGTTCTATTAACTGTCAGAAGTGCCGATTTGTGAAAAGTAATAAAAAAAAAAATAAAAAATTTACAAATAAAAAAATCATTTGAAATAGGATAAGGCAGACCAGGAAAAAGGCAGAAGTCTTTTGAAAAGATTGTAGAGAAACCAAGCGAGAAAGAACTTACGAAAATAGGAAGTCTTCAAAAGGAGAAATGTGAGTCTGAGACAATTGGACAAGATATAAGTGGGAATGGGATTAAAGACAATTGATTCAATAACGTGATTGATCATTTTCAATGTACATTGACAATTATTCCAAAAAACTAAACATGAAAAGAGTATATAAAAATGTATACGAAAATATATTGGTAACACTGGCCATTAGTTGATCAACTGTTGTGCTTTGAAATAAATAACGTATTTTAGACTTTATAATCTGGTTTGGAAAGTTAGTCAATATTTTTTTCCTACTTCAGTGAGTACCTTGCAATGAGTCCACTACGTTTAGGTAACACGCGTAACCTGAAATTGACTATCACAACTACATCTTCATGTCTTTGATTGACAATTTCTTTGTTTATAAAAGACTGCGAATTCCAAAATGTTACTTTTCAGTGTTACATGGGCGTGGACAAAAGGAAGTTTTCAGAAATAGAATAGTATTATTTCGTAACCTTATACGTCAATTTTCTGTTCGCAACAGATGCAGTTCATCAAGACCAGTTTTATTTTGTAAACCATTGCACTGACAATTCAGCCGTCGATCATGAAGGATTCAAACCATTATATCTTTATAATATTCGAAGTTACCAACTGATGGGGAGGTTCAGAATAAATTATCAGGAAATCTTGACTTTTCCAATTTGTCGGATGGAGTTTTCTTGTCTTCAATTCGTATAAAGTCCATCGGAAATGTAGAGTCCCTAAATTGATTGGTTTTATTTTCACCGCCTTCTCGTATTATTTCAGAATAAAGGGAGTAGATATGCATCCGTCTTCAAACCTCCCTTTTTCATTAATTGAAATCTGTTCGTACATTTTAGTGGTATCCAATCCGCGAAAGGATGAGAACCCTTTTAGTATCAAAGTTATTTGAATTGCTTTTACTGCCTTACAAATTCAGTCCCATTTAGCGAGAAGAAATCGCTATTAATTTGATGGGTTTGAAGTCAGGCTCTTTTCCAGACAAAACAGTACACACAGTGATGGTACAGTACGCCTGACGAGGCTTTATTGCTAAGAAGATGAAATGCTATATTGTTTGTTTTGAAACGGTTCTCAGCGACGACTTTCTCTTTCCACACGCTCTTAAGACAGACAGCTTTGCATGGTATTATTACGTCGGTCTTCAATCTGTTTATTAAGTGGCTTTAATATCACTAGTGCATAGGGGTCAATAAAGCAGTGGCCTTATCATTGTATTACGATATCATGATTTTGTGTAATTAATTAAGATGTGTGCTTCATTTCACAATTACCACAAGAAATATAATGGATGAAATGATGCGAAAAAATGTAATTATTAGATCTATGAAGAAATACGAGATATGAGGCATATGGTTTTGAATGTGAGACAGAAAGGATTATAACAGCAAATTTAAAAACCGTTGATAAAGACACTAGTACTATATTCAAAGACTGATTTTTTGTTTGTTTGTTTTTATTTTTGTTTTGTTTTTGTTTTTCTATATTTTTTTAAAAAATTTGTATAAAATAAGCTTCGAAGTATAGTAATATATATCTCTTTATCAGATAAACAATTAACATACAGTACCTTCTTATCTGAATTTGCAACGCATATATAATAACTAATTAAAACAATTTATAACATTTAGTTTTCCAAAATAAAGATTCAGTTGATAACTATCTTTTTATATTAATTCACAGCTGTTTATACGTTTTTTTTACGTCCTAGTAGCAGCCTAGGAGAAAAACTACCGACCTGCGGACAGTACCTGCCGACTATCCCGGACCCCCAGAAGTGAAGTGCTAGTGATAAAGACGGCCAGACGCCTTAACTACTCAGCCGCTACCAAAACAAAATAGTCGAGTTGTCTTTTTTATAATCTGTACAATAACAGAATCTTTCCATCCGTCCACATATTGAATAATTTTAAGGTTAAACTAGCCCTTCATCACTACGGAGTATATTTGATACTTGACCCACTCCAAAACAGAGTACTTCGTTCAAGCCAGGAGAAGGCATCAAATACACCTGTGTTATTCGTTAACTACCTAATTTGAACCAAAACGATACTAATTGCACACAAGGACGATAACCGAATATGGTTTTTGTCGTCTTACATAACAACGTAATATTGTACTGAAAAGAAGCAGCAGAGCGACTTTTTGTGAAAACATAAGATAACAACCATTAAAAAGACCAAAGCATTACAAAAATGCTAAACAGAGAACAGAAGAGACATCGTGGCAGAATACTATACAGAAGTATTTCATCAATCTGTTCATTACACTTGGTGTGATGGTTTGTGCTTTTAACATGCATCACAGTCATCGAACAACGTCTTTTTACTACTGTAGTAGTAATTGTGATGTTTGGTCTTATCCCTGAGGTAATCTTTTGGGAACATTTTTAATCACCCCATGATTGTAATTTTGTTCCGATAGGTCAGATTGGCATATATTCAGTTTTAGTTTTGCTTTACATGCTCTTGTATTTCAGAACCATCAAATCGAATTTTTTGAGCAACCGAGGCCATGTCACAACTCCTCCTTCAATACAAACGTTAATGCCAAGAATAAAACCCGGTTGACTGTCTGGATGATCGGCTAACTTCACACGTCAATCCTGTCATGTATACCGAAGACATGTTCAACTTTTATAAAACAGTAGACGAACTCAAGCCTTGGCCATAATCTAGCGATTTCTATATTTGCATTTTTCATAGTGATATTCGTTTAAATGTTTTGCAAAATTTTTTTTAAAGATAATCTTTTTTGATATTTTTATTTAAAGTTTTCATGTCCCCTCATAAGACTGCATTGTTGTTTTGACTCAAATATAATGTTTCTGAAGGGTCAGCAAGACACGACTCCTTAATCATGCTTTGAATGATCTTCTATTGGCTCGGTGCATGTAAAAATATGCCCCCACCCTGACCGGAGTGGTGGGTCTAGCTATACATTGTGAGTAAACAGAGAAGCTGTCATCACACGGTAATTCTACACTCTGGGACATTCTGATAATGGGAAAAGTTGAAGAGAGGTGTCGACCCCCATCCGCCTACCCAGGAGAGTTCTCATACCCGATACACCTGTCGAGAACCAACCATGTAAATAGTAGTTCTGGTTTTATCTAGAGTGCATTTTAAAATCACTTCCTTCCTTCAAAATCATTAACACAACTTTTAGAATGTGTTGCAGTTCCCATGAGTTATATGTACACAAGGAATAGGGCAAAAGACTATTAATACCTCGTTACTGTATGTTATGAATTTAATTTAATCAGATTCATGGGATTAAATATGCATCATTCCTTGTGTATAATCAATAGTTTGGATTTTGGTATTTTCATGTAAATTCGAAATGTGCAAAATGACACTAACAAAAAAAGGGCAGTAATTTCAATAACATTCGCGAGAATATTAGTCTATCTAAAACAGATGAGAAGACACTTCGTTGACAACTAGTAGGTTTAAAGAATGTTTATAATATTCAACTTCTGTACAAATCACAATTTGGTCCGACAGACACATAAGGAAATGGTGTTAAGTATACATAAGTTAATAGCTTCTTTAGATACATATTCAGAATAAGATGACGTAGATTGATACAATGAAGTAAACGGCATATTACGGCTTTCCGTCCTTCTAGGACCGTCAAGGAATCACGAGTGAAACAAAGTGTTCAGAAGAGCATTTGCTTTTTTGGAGATAGCAGTTATTTACTCCAAAAACACATCCGGGTTCTTAAAGTTAAATGAAAAATGAGACGATGTTTACGTATGTTTATTATTGGCTATGGTTTATGACGTGTTACGTGATTAATTCCGAGATAAACAACGATTATTTCCGTTTTCACCAATGACGAAGCATTTACGATTTCCAGGGACAATATATATGACCATGCCTTTGCTTTCTCACTGGTTCAGATCAATCCTTTCTGCGTTACAGCTTTACAACGTAACCGTAAAATAAAGTTTAAACTTTAATGATTTGGTTTGATTTTATTGATTGCCGTCCCACCAACAGCTGTGGTCACTGACCCCTACAGATGGGAAGTGAGTAAAGTAGCTCTTTGATTACTAATAGTCACATTAATTTTTCCGATTACGTTTAATTATTGTTTTAGAAGAACACACGAATGTTTGAGTAAGAGAAAACCTTTAGCTGATATTTAGTGTTGAAGGTAAATATTTAGGAATTGTCAAGTTCCATAGCATAAATATATAGTATAAATATATATTTCCATTTTATGAAATCCCGTTTAGGGTAAGTTTACTCATTAAGCGATGTATGATTAAGTTAACAACGACAACATTCAATAAAGATGCTATGTATAACATTAAAACATAAGACCTTAATGATTATTTTGTAATGAAAGCTACAAATATTAAATTGAAGTTTAAAATATCACATACCAAAACGAAGCCAAGGACGGAAAAATTAACAAATGGAGTCAGTCATCATTTTGTGTTATTGTATGTAAGTTGCACGAACAGTAAGGCATACGGATGTCAAGTAATG